AACAGGAGCCCATGGATGGAGCCCTCCAGGAGCTGGAGCTCACGCTGAAAATGACTGCCATGTTGGAGCAGGAGAAAACGGAGGACCAGAGCCACCCGGGGGAGACCGAAACGTCCGGCAGCTCAGTCAGACGTAGGAACAAGAGAAGAAAGGCAAAGAAAGCCATATGTTGACTCTTAGGTAGCATTTAAATAACAAACTCCTTTCCTACTGCAGCCAAGCTCCTCATTGGACTTTATTTTTCTGACTAATGTTTGCATCAACCCATCGTTGGCATTTGGGGCTTTGATGATTTCTGATATAATAATCAGGCCTGATGCCAGTATGTGTGTTACAAAGAACACAAAGGATCCTGGTATCACACTAGGCTGATCAGTGCAGTAGAAGGCAGCAAAACTACCCCACAGCATGATGCTACCGCCATCATGCTGAACAGGTAGGTCATCCTATAGGCCCGGTTCACATTGCAGGCAGATGTAGCCTAGATCTGATTTCTTTGGGGGGTCAAGTGATCAGATCAGGCTGTTTAAAAGAAGCATGGAGTCATATATGAGCCACTTTCATAAGTGGTCCTGAATCAAATCAAACTTTATTTATAAAGTGCTTTTGGACAACATTAGTACATTTTTAATTAGTAAAAAAACAAAAATAAAATGCAGGTCAAGATAAAAAAAATATATGAAAAGCCTCCACTAAAGCCATATATATCTATATATATCTATATATATCTATATATATATATATATATATATATATATATATATATATATATATATACAGGTGCTGGTCATAAAATTAGAATATCATGAAAAAGTAGATTGATTTCAGTAATTCCATTTAAAAAGTGAAACTTGTATATTATATTCATACATTACATACAAACTCATATATTTCAGATGTTTATTTTGTTTAATTTTGATGATTACAAATGACAACAAATGAAAATCTCAAATTCATCATATCAGAAAATTAGAATATTACTGAAGACCAATAAAAACAAAGGATTTATAGAAATGTTGGCCAACTGAAAAGTATGAACATGAAAAGTATGAGCATGTACAGCACTCAGTATTTAGTTGGGCCTCCTTTGGCCTGTATTACTGCAGCAATGCGGCGTGGCATGGAGTCGATCAGTCTGTGGCACTGCTCAGGTGTTATGATAGCCCAGGTTGCTCTAATAGTGGCTTTTAGCTCTTCTGAATTGTTGGGTCTGGTGTATTGCATCTTCTTCTTCACAATACCCCATAGATTTTCTATGGGGTTAAGGTCAGGAGAGTTTGCTGGCCAATTAAGAACAGGGATACCATGGTCCTTCAACCAGGTACTGGTAGCTTTGGCACTGTGTGCAGGTGCCAAGTCCTGTTGGAAAATGAAATCTGCATCTCCAAAAAGTTGGTCAGCTGCAGGAAGCATGAAGTGCTCTAAAACTTCCTGGTATGTGGCTGCGTTGACCCTGGACCTCAGAAAACACAATGGACCAACACCAGCAGATGACATGGCACCCCAAACCATCACTGACTGTGGAAACTTTACACTGGACTTCAAGCAACGTGGATGAAGTGCCTCTCTTCTTTTCCTCCAGACTCTGGGACCTTGATTTCCAAAGGAAATGCAAAATTTACTTTCATCAGAGAACATGACTTTGGACCACTCACCAGCAGTCCAGTCCTGTTTCTCTTTAGCCCAGGCAAGACGCTTCTGACGCTGTCTGTGGTTCAAGAGTGGCTTGACACAAGGAATGCGACAGCAGAAACCCATGTCTTTCATACGTCTGTGTGTGGTGGTTCTTGAAGCACTCACTCCAGCTGCAGTCCACTCTTTGTGAATCTCCCCCACATTTTTGAATGGGTTTTGTTTCACAATCCTCTCCAGGGTGCGGTTATCTCTCTTGCTTGTACACTTTTTTCGACCACATCTTTTCCTTCCCTTCGCCTCTCTATTAATGTGCTTGGACACTGAGCTCTGTGAACAGCCAGCCTCTTTAGCGATGACCTTTTGTGTCTTGCCCTCCTTGTGCAAGGTGTCGATGGTCGTCTTTTGGACAACTGTCAAGTCAGCAGTCTTCCCCATGATTGTGTAGCCTATAGAACTAGACTGAAAGACCATTTAAAGGCTTTTGCAGGTGGTTTGAGTTAATTAGCTGATTAGAGTGTGGCACCAGGGGCCATCAATTTTGAACCTTTTCACAATATTCTAATTTTCTGATATGATGAATTTGAGATTTTCATTTGTTGTCATTTGTAATCATCAAAATTAAACAAAATAAACATCTGAAATATATGAGTTTGTATGTAATGTATGAATATAATATACAAGTTTCACTTTTTAAATGGAATTACTGAAATCAATCTACTTTTTCATGATATTCTAATTTTATGACCAGCACCTGTATATATACATGGGGATCCTTTAACACCTGGAGGCCAACAATAAATAAAATACAACGGGATAAAAAACTAAATATGTAAAATAAGACAAACAAAATTGAATAGACAGGTAGTTTAGTGATGGAAGGGCGCCTCGCAGTGAGATTTACTTTTCACTTTGGGAACAATTAAAATGCTTCTACCAGAGGACCTCGGGGTCTGCCAGGGTGTATATTATTTATTTATATCTGATGGTTTGGAAAGAGACACTAGTATAGATTAGATTTGACATCACTTTCCATCAAATTTGTCACAATTTTTTGCCGTCCGGCAGAAAACGGCAGCAGTTAGTAAAGCAGACAGAATCTTGTGTTATAACACTGCAAAAACTGATGGAAAATAAGGTAACTATCCTGGAAAAATGTGTATTTTCTCTTCTTTATTTAAGTAGGCAGATCAGATGAATATTTCTTCCTCTAAGATATTATGCACTTGCAAGAGAATAATACCGGTGTTGTTTTTCTTATTCTAAGCGTAAATAATTTTATTCCATTGCTAATTTTCTTTCTTAGCTGCTAAAATTAACGGGAAATACGCTCATTTCAAGACTAATACTCATACTTCCATTGCAGTGATGTGCAGTAGAGACCTCAAGAGTCTTGGAGTTATTCATGTCTATTTGAAGAGCTTTTAGGAACCAGGATATGGGAAACAGTTTGGATTATAATCCTTGTATGTGACCCTTCAGACAGACAACTTTAAAATGCTATAGAGACACAATGATGTGTTGGTTTAATACACTGGATGGCATAGAGTCTCCTCCCTGCAGGGGTGAGAGGGGTTAACATATATGATCAAGCTTTCCTTGGTTGATAAAATTCTGAATAAACTAAAATCCCCCACTGCTGGCTCCATATCATAATCGTTTCAGATGTACCTAAAATTCTCAATTAAGACTTTTCATCTTTTTTATTTATGCATTTCTCATGCAGCACCTGCTCATACAATAGTTGGTTTCTGTTTTGCATTTTATAGGACCCTCACTAAAAAACTAAAATCAACATTTTAGGCCAAGAGTGTTATTGGAAGACCTTATTGCCTTAGTAACATAAAAAAAAAAGTGGATGTTTTAATTTAAAAAATGTATGTCAATTTAGTATTAAATGGCCACTTGCCCTAATATATAACAAATGTGTTTCTGTAAGAAATGAATCAAAAACACTCAAGAGTAAAAGAAACACATTTTTTGGTTACATTATAACCTTAGAGGCATTCATGCTGATACAGGCACTTTTTTACTTTTTTTCAAACTTAGCTTATGAACTTTTTTACTTTTCCATTTGCTTTTTACCAACTTAATTTACAGTAGGTAATATAACATTCAAGGGCTCATCTAATTGGTCAAATGCCAACATAAGATCTACAGCCATGTAGCAGTAGCTTTGCTGAATGGCTGGATATAAATGTTGTGCTTTTAGACCTCATTGAGGGACGGTGGAAGACTCCATTTGTAAGGGATATGCAAGTGATCGACGATGGTAACTTTCCCTATAAAGACTGAAACCTTTTTCTCCATGTTTACTGTTGTGATGTGTTTAAGTTTTGTTTTTTATGGCCATTCAGGTCAGTTTGGAGCCGCTTATTGTTCACATTGAAAACACGTACAAGCCACATTTTATAGGTTATATGAACAACAACACAAAATAAAATAAAATATCAGACCTGCAATGTGAATGCAGCCTTAGAAACTTTAACATACTTCCTGTTTTTTTGTGAGCGAATTTCTCAATGTTGTCACATGAGGTCAGAGATGTCTGCAGGGTCAGTCTTTTGGTGCGTCTGCGTAAAACGCTCGTTTTAAGATGGCAAAGAGAAACCAGAGCTACTACACTGAAAAAACGATCTAGAAATTTCTTAAATTAAGTGTATTTACCCTTAATTTGAGTAGGTAAATGAGATGGTTTGCCATTAGAATGAGTATTTTTACATTTAAAATAAGATAATTAGATAACATCCACTTGAAATAAGAAAATGTAATTGTGTTTAATTGTAAATTGTCTTGTTCCATTGGCAAAATGTCTCTTTTACCTCCTCAATCTAAGAACAAATGCACTTGGTTTAAGAAAAAAAAATTACAGATTACCTACAGGTTTTTCTATCATTGTGAAATCCTTAATTCCTTTGAAGCCTGAGCTAAAGATGAGTTTAATATCTGTTAAAGGTTTAGCTTCTTAAATAGATCCTCGCTTCATTACTAAACTTTGGGTTTGATGCATTTAAGTTGAAATAAAAATGAAAGAAAATGCTGTAAAAAAAATTGCCTAGCAAAGCAGATAAGAAAAAAGATAAATCAATTGTTGGGTTTACATTTTGCTCCCAAATGTTTCTGATTTGGTTCCATTCTAGAAGAAAACTGACAGTTTGATTTTCCTAAAATGGTAGACTTTTTTTTAGATTTTTGCATGCTGGTTTAGGGGAAGTAGTGTTCTAAGATTGCAATATTTCTCAAAGCACCTGTCAGAAAAGCTGAAATGAAAATAAACGTTTTCTGTTTCCTCTCCTTCCTTTGACTCCGTTTTCCTTTTAATACAGACTATCCCATCTGGATTATAAAATAAAATGAGTGGAAGCACATTTCCAAAAAATTATGTTTATTACTATAATGGCATATTCTACCCATAGAAAAGAAACGTTACATGGGTTGATGTAGGCAAGGTCTAATTTGGATGAACAGTTTAGTGAGAGGCACAACACAACAGCCTTCTCCTCTACAGATTTGCTCCGTTGATTTGCATGAAGTGTCAGGTTGGTCCTCAGTGCTCCATCGGCTCGTCGGACGCCTGTCCAGCAGCAGGTTCCTCTGCAGACTGGGCCACCTGGACACAAACGATCCTTTTTTTCTTTGGTCTAAGGAATCCTTTCAGGAAATAAAGCTGAAACTGAAGCAGGGTCGTACCTTTCTCTGCGGCCTTTCCTCCAACCCCTCCAGGAAGGGAGCGACGTCGTCGTCGTCATAAATGGTGAACTCCATGTCCTTCCCCACAATGCCGATGGAAACATTCTGCAACAAACCGGATGAAATCATGAGGAAATGCCTTAATGTTGAGGTAGAAGAGGAAGGAATCTGTGGTACCTTGGTGGTGAGGTCCTGCTCAGTGGGAAGTGTTTCTCTAAGAGCACGGAGGCCGTGCTGAACCAGTTCATTCAGGTTACCTGTGAACACACCCCCCATCCAACAAGGTTCAGCATTTAATCCACCTGCTTCTATTCAGACATTAAAACAAAGGACAAAGCCTTACAGTCTTGGAACTTGTCCATGGTCCGCTCCAAATAGGTACGTGCAGACTGGGAGCGTGCTCCGATGGACATGGCTTTGCAGTCAAAGTAGTTCGCCGAGGGGCAAGTCTGAAAGATGTGAGGTCCCATGTCCTGCAGGATGGACCGAACAAAGAAAGCAACTGTCAATTTGAGATGCCTCTAGTTTATGCTGGAGTAAAGCTGACTTAAACAGAAGCAGCTCACATCGTAGCCGGCAATGAGGAGCCCGACTCCATAAGGCCTCCTTCCGTACCGCTGTGTGGGAATCTGGGTTTCTGTAGTTTCGGTTAAGGATGACAAAAATCCCTCTGCTTTCAAACTCTTAAATTATCCCAATATTTTATACATTTTACTTTGGCCTCATATTTAGTTTCTTTATTCTTGGTTTTCCCCAGAAATCTTTAGCCCTTATTTATTCTGTCAGAACATTCCAGGCGATAAAATCTGTGGAATTTGGGTTTTATCTAAAGGAAAGTGGGGCAGCAACTAAAAAAATAAAAAAGGATATTACGGTACTAATTCGATTCTCATTTTAATCTATAAAGATTGATTCAAATAACCACAGAAAGATTTTTTTCCCACTGTACTTTTGGCCTCCAATTAACCGCTCTTATTATATGTTGCATAACTACAGTCAACTAATTCAGGTAACAGCTAGAAAAAATATATGTTTTTAATAATTTAATACTGGACTAGATTGCATTAAAAACAAATATCAATTCTAAATCTTGAGAATCTGAATCATTTAGATTTTTCTAATATTAATGGCTGTTCATCCCTGGCAGTGGTACAGACAGAGCAGACATTTGAAAACAGTTAGCCAGAACTGTAATGCAGCGTCTCACTGAACGCGTTTCCAGTGCCTCATCCTGGATGCTTGTGCTCATCGAAGCCAGACGCATTTTTTGACAGCATTTTTAACGCCCTTGATGCACGTCCATAAAAATCGTACGCGCTTTGCCGACCCTGAGTACGACGGCAGATGCAATGAGAGGATTGGTTGAAAAGTTTCATAGGTGGTTTAAAAATGCAAGTATTAAAATACAAAATCAGATATTTCACATTTTATGTTGGTATTTTTTCAACACAATCCAGCAACAAAATATTTTATTGGAGTGATTACATCGATCTCTATTTTCTTTGTACATGAAAATGTTTATCCGCCTAGCTTTTAATGTAAACCTAGTGGAGTCTAACACCCTTAAATGAATATATTCTTGTTTATTTTCGATGGTTTTATGCCGACAGCTCTGCAGGAGCATAGATCACGCCTTGGATGCAGCGACTATCCATCTGCAAACTCCCATATCAGCTTCTCTGATCGGGCGATGCCCCGCGTCGAGCTGCAGAAGTTCAGAGTTTACGATTTGAGAATCTGATGCTTTAGATGGATATCAATGCCTGGAGGATTAAAACCTGCTGCACCCGATTCCCAAGAAGCTACAAGATATGACGCGGCAGACGATGTCCTTAAGTGCCGACCATAGACTTCACATGTAAACAAGCTGAACCTGGTGCTCAAAACACGTTTGGTGTGAATGCAGCATCATAAGGTTTAATACATGTTGTGTAAAGATGTGTGTGAAAGGATATACCAAACGTGAAAACTAGAATCTTCTATTTAGGACACATTTTTATCTAACCTGCATAAATCACAAGAAAAATAAATAGTATAGTTAATTCATGTAATTATGTGGGACTTAAATTCTAATTTTTTTAGTGAAACTCAGAATTAAGATCTGTTTTAGCCTTAAGCTTTTCTTCCAACATGTCTGCTGTGATCCTCGTCTTTATGATGCAGTTTCTATTTTATGACAAACGAAAGCGGGACTCCTCACTGGAAACATGTACTCCAATTATTGTCTTCACTGTATTTTATTTGGAGGTGTCAGAAAACGAGGGCTAAATACAAACTAAGACCAAATAAAATGTTCAAGACACCGAACAGAAACATAACTTACCACACACCATCCAGTAGAACCAGTTCTACTTTCCTCACTCTGACGGACTGGACCCTAATGCATTATAAACCTACTGCCAGCACTGTCACTTATTAAATTTCAGCAGCTAGTGTTGCTTTATTTGTCCGAACACGATACCTTTTAATCGAGAGCTTCACAGATAGAAAGGATACTGCTGCCAACAAGTGAGACGAGACGCGAGATGGGAAGTGGTCTGTCAAAGACGAACCTCGAGTCCAAACACTCCTGACGCATAAAGTTACTGCAAGAGAGAAAGCCACCGTGTTAAGCTCATCCTAGCCACACAGACTTGTTCACTTAAAGAGAATAAATTTCCTGTTTCTGTCAGAGAAGTGGGAACAGAACCACATCATGAAGCCTATTGATTAAATACAACTGTAAAGCTGTATTTTAAAGTTCCTTCCATGCATTGGAGATGTCTCCCTGTTTTAAAAGGACAGATTCCACTTAAGAAGAATCCAGCTGTCTGGAAACTGCTTCTTCAAGATCATCTTCCTCACTAGTCCTACCAGAGCAGCCTGGCGTCGGCGGTCAGTCCGGCGATGGAGATGCCAATGTGGTTGTCAACATGTAGGATCTTCTTCTGGTGGGCAGCCAGTTCAGACTGGGCTCTCTGTGAGAAAAGCATCAATCATGTGATCACTGTAGGTAGCAGTTGATTGACAGCCCACTGGGGCGCACATGTCCTTTTTGGGACATGATGTCTCCCCCAAAATGACACAAAATGCTAAGATCATAACAGTGATGAGCTTTAGTTTTAATATGAATGAGCTCTGAGAGGAATGGGACATGAGAACAATGCAGGAAGGAAGTTTGGTAAAAATGGACTGATAGCTAATATTTAATTGGTTTCTTAACATGATGTAAATAAAGAACCAAACTTCTGGTACTCAGAGTTCCAGTAAAACATAAATTAGACTAGGGCTACCAATGAATATTTTGCTAATTGTTTCATCTGCTGATTATGTTTTTTGTTAATAATCAGATAACAAAAGTTCTTCAAGATTTTATACAGAATCTAAACCAGTTAAATCTAGAACTGTGACAGCAGGACTTCTGAATAAAACATATTGGGGAGAAAAACTTATTTTTCATTTTAAATGCAAAATATATATATATTTTTAACACTTTGATATATTTTCTGCGTGTCTCAGAATCTCTATATTACAGTTGAAAAATGGATTACTAGAATTAGCTGAAAATTGTGTCAATAATTGATTAATTACAACTGATCTAATGTTTTAGTGCTATATCATACTACTATGATTACATCACATAATTAGTAAAGGCTGGCACAATTATATTCAAATTAATTCGGCACTATTTAAACTTTTTTTTTGTATTCAGTATATGTAGGATAATTAAAGGCACATGAAGCGTCCCCATGTTCCTTATGGAGCAAAACTTTGCAAGCTAAGAGGTTTTTTTCTATTAAATTTTAAATGTAAACTTATTTGTTCAGGTTGTTGTGACATATTAGTCGCTCATTAAATAGAAACCATGAAAGTTATTATGGCAACACTGACAAAACAGTGATGGTTGCAGATACTCTGCTAGTAGAAGCTTTGCTAAAAATATTTAGTAGCCTATTAAAAAAAAAAAAACACTTTCCTAATCTGTAAAAAAAGGCTGTGATTAATTTGTGTGGAATAATGATTGGAGACAGTTACAGAAACCAGAGGTTAAGTCAATGACTCTTTCCTTGTTTAACTCCAATCTGAAGTTTTTTAACCATTTATAAAATGCATAATATAATTAAAAAAAAAATATTTTAAAATCTGGAAATATACCAACTCTGATCCACTTTTTGTAAAATAGCCTGTTTGAAGCGACCACGAATGATGTGCAAAATCTTAATTTGGTCCCATTTGTACATGAACACAGAGGGATCTTTGATACTACCTTCAGTGCAACAAGGACAGCGTGTGTTCTGGATTTCAGTCCTACAGTTGCAGAGCCTTGTTTAACTGCCTCCATGGCATATTCGATCTGATGGATGCGACCCTGTAAACACAGCAGCAAGGAAGGAAACATCCTTAAAAAACCTCACCATGTAAATGTAACCTGCAGAAAGAAGAGGCCAGGGAAAACTCACCTGAGGGCTCCATACTGTCACATCGTTGTCGTATTGGTTACGGAACTAAAGAGAGAATAAACATCGGATTAAAAAACAAACCTCGGAAACATTTAGATCCATTTTAGGTTCAATAGGACCAGACTCACATAATTATCAGACATAATTGCAAAAGTTCCAAATATAAAGAAACGCTGTGTTTTCGAGCCCGGCCTCTCTAAGCTGGGGGTTTAAAATTACAGAAACTAAATTATTAACAAACCCACATTTAAGTTCAACCTCTAAAGGAGGACGTCACAGGAACCGACCCAATCTAGGACTGTTTCGAGAATACATGGCTTTATTCTATTAACTTTATGTAGCGTTATCCAGACTTAAATACAAAAACATTAACTAATTATTTATAAAAGTCCATTTATTTTTACGATATAATTGGACAAACAAATATATTATCAACAAGAAAACTAGTTGAGACAAAGCGAAAGTAAAGGCAGGGTACTTGAACCGCTCAGTGAAATGAAGCTAACTCAACCTGCTGTGGCTAACATTAGCTAGCACCGCGGCGGTAGACTAAATATTTAACCGCGCAAATAACACAGCGCCTCCATAGGGATTATCCTGTAGATTAAGGCTATGTGTTATTTGGCATGGCTAGGTAAGGTTAAAAACACCACTTTATTTTCAAGCAGAGTCAAAAGCTAAATGCTAACAGTTACAGATGCTGTTTTGCTTACTCACAGCAACTTAGCAGGCTAAAGCTAGCATAGCGTGATAAAATAAACCGGCAGTCAGAAATTACTACAACAAATCATTACAGGTCAGCTTTATTTTTTGATGCGAGTATACCATTATATAAAAAAGATAAAGAGCCGTTATGTTTTATTTCAATTTACCATCTCTGCTCTGTAAATGTCCGAGTTCCTGCGCAGGATGTGCTCCGCTGTGATGCTCGATTGTTCTTACTGAATGTGACGTCAGGGGAGAGCAGCAGAGTGCCGATTTCAAATAAGCGATCGACAAAGATTCCAAGTACTTTTTTTTTTTTTTTTTAACAATTACAAATAAAAAAAAGTCCTTCATGTATTTATCTTTGTGTACGTTCATTTATTCTGATCAAAATTTATTTTCCTCTTGCTTTTATAAAATAACTGGTATTTTGGTCTGAATTGTCTTCTTCTTTTTTTTTTTTTTTATCAAAAAACGGAATAACAAATTAATGACAAAAACTAACTTTGAAAGAAGTCTGTAGAACCCATAGCCCAATTACCATTTGATTTGATTTATTTATTGATTTATTTGTTGGAAAGGCTCTATAGGTAAAAAACAAACAAAAAAAAACTGAAATGTTAGAACTGTAACTATACAGTCATATGTTTACATGACTGTTTTTTTTTATCACTGCTGCTTACCTTAACAAGGCTGCGTTTTAAAAAAATTAAATAGCCTAGAGAACTGATCTTAACAAAAATTATTTTGTTTACACTTGTGTGTACAAAATGACAAAATAAAATCTGTCTAACTCTAAGTTCTATTAGTTACCATTTACTTACATTTAATGCAGCCAATTTCTACACACAAGTGAAAAAAATAATAGTTTAAGATTTTACATATTTAGCCTATGACACAAACATTCTATTTTCAGTTTTTGTCAAAATCATAATATCAAAATTGTATGTGTTTTATTTGGATTATTAACGTTAAAAGAACATATGATTGTCCGAAATGGTGATATGACAGAAATAATTTTAAAAGTAAAAAAAAAAAATATATCAGAAATGTGTGCCTTTCATTTCAAATCACCTCCCATTTGATCTAACATTGCTAAGTAGATGTTAGATTAAATGGGAGCTTTCAGATGGCAGCATGATGTGGATGCAGATACTTCATTCAATCTATTTTAGACTGCTTAGGAACCTGTTTCTTCAAATCTGAATGATACAGGCCTTTGGAAAAATGTGCAAACACTGCTTCCTATCCTTCTTCAAAGTTATGCAGGATTGTTTTTTGTAAACTAATTGTGCTTCCCAATTTTTCTTTGTTATCATTTAGATTTTCAACATTTTATAATAAATTAATTTCTACAATAGTTTTATAGGATCAGCCTACAATGCTCCTTTTTATTTTTCAGTTCTATAAAAACAAACTTATTTTCTCAAATTATTGAAGATAACTGTTCATTGATGAATGCACAACATTAAAACATGAAACAGGGTTTTAAATCTCTGCAAGCATTAAGTATTTTATTTAAGTAAGTGGCAAAATAAAAATAAGTTCCCATAATTGTGGCTGCTGTCTCTTGTCTTTTTCCCCCTGATCTTACTCGGCCAATCATCAGCAGTGTTATGTTTGAACACTAGGTGGCGGCAGCGAATCAGAGTCAGTTGGATGTATTGGAACATGAGTCACTATCTGTTTTCACTAAAGAAATTGAAGTTTGAAGAAATATTGATCTGCAAACGGCAGTTATGGATGTCTGATGTGCAACAGCCAATTTCTGCTGCCTTACCAAAAGTCAGATTTATTACACCCTGGTGTAATTTCACAAATTATATTCTGATATTTTCTCACTGCCTCCTACTGCACAGATTACTATAGATATTCCCCACACAAGCATGCTTAGTGTGGGGGATTGTATTTGAGTCAATGAGTCAATGCAATCAACTGGTTTTCCTTAGATAGAAAACTTTGTATCAATTTGATCTGGTTGAACTGTAAAGTGCCTTGAGATGACATGTGTTGTGAATTTGGCGCTATATAAATAAACTGAATTGAATTGAATTGAATTGAATATTGAACAACACCATTTTGTCAAAATACAGCTTTGGTTGCATATGTCAGTATTTAACTGACTGACTATTATTTTGGTGTTAAAAATTTTTTTCTGTGTTTTTTTCTTAATCAGTGCTCTTTAAAGAGATCTAATCCTGAGGCTGTTTGGAGGAATTTGGAATTAAATTGCAGAGATTGTTTTTCTTTATAGACAACAAGACGAGACCACATTACATTTGAGAGAAGAGAACTGATTTGACTGTTTTGCCCCATAAGACTATTTTAATTTCCTTTACAATGCCTTGCAAAATGATGCTAACTCTTTGAACATTTCCACACAAAATAAAATAAAATAAAAGACCTTGTAAATGGTGGTCTGTGTTGGTATCCCACCCTTCTTTCCGCTGTCAGTACCTCAAAACAACACTTATTCTCTCAATTACAGTCTCAGATCTTTTGGGTTATATGTCTTCCTGTATATTTAAATGAGTTTAAGTCTGGGCTTTAACGGTTCCACTCTATCTCATGGAAATGCTTTAATCGGAACTCTCCCAGTGAAGCACCAGTGTAGGTAGTAGATCTGCTTGGGGACTTGCCCCTGCTCATTATGTTGCAATATGGCAACGTCACTCAGACAAACTGTTTTAAGCTCTTCTAGATTTTAACTTCTTATTACCTATATTTGCTAATATTCTATATTTCTTTGGCGGCCTAAAGTAGCCAAACATAGAAAGAAGCAGGTATTGCATTCTAAGACAGACTGATCTTTGCCATTTACCAAGGTGACACAAAAGGTCTCAGTTCTTTCGTTTTAAGTCTTTTTATTAAAATCTGAGGGCAGAGGAGGGCAAATGAAACATCTTAAAAAATGACTATCATTGGGATTTTAGACAAAGAAAAAAAAGGGTAATCTACTTTTAGAAAATTAGACTTAGACTTTGTTGTAATTTTGTATGCACAGTGTATAAAAACGAAATTCTGTTGCATACAGCTTACAACAGTGAAACAGTGAAATGAACATGACCATTTATAAGTGCAGCAGTGAGCAGAATGTACAGTAATTAGAAATAACAGTGCAAAAGGGCATTACAATGAAAAAGTTCAGTGGAGTGCAAAATAAATATGGTGCAAAATGCAGTAGAATATTGAGTTGTGTCCCATTTAACGATTTTTAAAAGTTCAGGACATTGGAAGTGCAAAATAATGTTGCAAGCGTGATGCAGAGTCCAGTTTAGAGTTCAGCAGTTCAACAGTCTGATGACAGTGGGGAAAAAGCTGTTGCAGAACCTGCTGCACCTGCATTAGATGCTGCAAAGCCTCTTCCCAGAGGGCAGCAGGGAGAGCAGTCCATGTTAGGGGTGTGAGGGGTCACTGAAGATGTTACGGGCTAAGGACACAAAGTTAAAAGTAGTGTAGCTTAATAAGGGTAACTTATGGAGCTAAAAGAGGCTAACTTTTTAGCTATGTAGGACAGCTAGCTACAGCACAGCGCTTCCCAGGTCTCCCTCTTTATATAATGGCATTGCAGTTACTTTGTTCACCGTAAACATATTTTTTCAGTTTTGTTATCAATCAGCTTAAACTTCTAGGGTCCATTAGACACGCTAAAACTACAGATGCTCCCAACTCAGCACACGGATGATGCATTATGTCATCATCATTGTCTGGGAAACCATGAGATTTTACATTTGTGGCAACATTCAAACAATCATACATGGTAACGTCACTGGCATGCGCAGGGCTTGAGCAGACCTGGTACCGACCTGGTACCTAAACCAGCTGTATGATTTGGGTCCATGCGTTGCTGATAGGTGCACTCCATGTCTTTTCTCAAAGGTTTTTTCTTCAATATTTCCTTACATTTAGCTCACCTTCAAACAGCTTTACCGCCCCTATTGAAAAAAAAGCAATCCCAAAGCATGATGCTGCCACCATCATGTTTCATGCTGGGTGGAAGGCTGTGTAATACCTTTTCCAAATCTTGTTGTCTCTTCTCTTCTCCGGTTAAATGACCTATCACCTTGGGTGGATAGCCATTTCTTGGTAAGTTCGTGGTTGGGATAAACACTTTATATCTTCAGATGATGGATGAAGCAGTGATCTGTTAGAACTGGATGTTAAACCTCTTCCTCATCCCTGAGCTGTCTGCTCTATTCCTTGGTCTTTGTAAACTTATTTGTCCTCTAATGTTCTCTAACAAACCTCTAAGGTCTTTACAGTTCAAACGACTTTATTCAGACATTTACTTAAGCAAAAGAAGACTCTATTTGCTAATTAGATTACTTCTATTAGCAGTGGGTTGTCATTTAGGTATATCACAGCAAAGTTTGCTGAATATAGGCTTTGTTTTTATTCGTCCAAATAAACTACGTTGAGGTGCTATTTATTGACAAGGTTTCAAAGTTGTTTCAGATTAAACCGCCCTTGCACTGACTGGTTTAATACAAGCATTCCATTAAAATGTCCTAAAATATTTCCCATGTTTATTGTTGCTAATTAGCATCACATGCTGAAATAAAGAGCAAACATTTGTCTGCACACCACATTTGCTTTTAATGCAAATCTAATAGTTTTACTTCATTTCGTCCAAGACTGCTTGTAAGAGGACAAGGATGTTGATTTGTAAAGTTTTGTGTAATGATATATTATTTTGAATTTTAATGAATTTAGCAATAAAAAAAGAAGATGTTTGAACTTTTTTCATTTTGATTAGATTTAGTCTTGGAATTTATCAGTAAATTTTTCAGCTGTTTGATGTGTTTCTGGTTTTACCCCCGTTAAAAGCATGATGCACCCTTGGTCCTGCTTGGGGGATCTTATAAACGGTGGTGGTGTGTGGAGGGGTAAATTAGTGGGACCGTGCTGACGAGCTTTCCTCCTCTGCCAAGACAGTGGCAGCACGACTTCAGCCATTACATCAGTGCTCCAGCTCCCTCCTCTATGATTGAGATTGTAAAGCCTATGCTGAGCTCAGCATGTTTTATTTTATTTATTATTTTTTTTTTCCATCCCAGGGCCCTCATTTAACTCTGCCAGCTCCCCAGTGGCCGCCAACTCTAGTCCACCCCCCCCTCCACAGCCTCTTCCTCCACCCACCTCTTCCTCTACTGTTTAATTTTTCAAATGGAGAGCTGCCTGAGTCACTGTGCGATGGGGCCAAGCCACATGCAGCAGGCCTGAAGATGGTGGCCTGAAGGAAAAATGCTTCTAACAT